ATTATTACATACCGAAGGTTTATACAATGAATAAGAACAAATGCAAAGGAGCCATCAAAACTACGCTCCTTTCCGCACAAAACAGCAAGAAAGAACTAAGGAACAAAAGAGATCGCGTGCCTTGCGCACGCAGGCACGGCAGGCTAAATCAGGTACAGCAGAAGAGAATACGTCATGATGTACAAGAATGCATAAGTACTGACGCAAGTCAGTACGACGTAAGAGAGCAGCATGAAGTAGTACACTGCATCAAGGGGGGTCATTCTACTTCAACATACATGTTCGTGTGTGCATGTTTGTACATATGAGTGTCCATGCATGCTCGCATTGCTACTGGTGTGTGTGGGTGTGAACGTGTCGATGCACAGGTCTGTATGAGTGTGAACGTGTCGGTGCACAGGTCTGTATGAGTGGGAACGTGTCGGTGCACAGGTCTGTATGAGTGTGTATGTGTCATGGCCGCGCTTGGCGGGTTTGTGACTTGGCTTAGATCAGTCTAGTGGCTACCCAGGTAGACGACCAATATAGTCGCCATCCAAGTTGCTAGCTCACATAGAACGACAGGTTTCTAATTCCACTTGAACAGTGTTTATTTGAACCATTGCAGTACTAGATCGAAAGATCAAGTGTGTAGAGTCAAAAGACCAAAGCAGGAGAGAGTCGGAGTGACTCTCTCAGAATCGAGAGGAGTAGTGAGCTCCCCGAGAATCGAGGATGAATGTTAGCAAAACAGCTCCTTATATATGCTACATTATGTGATCAAAAGTATACAGTGGCAAGAATGCGTAAGGATTATTTCTATATTACAAACAGTGGTGCAATATGTGCAATCAGCCAAACTAGAATATAGTACAAAGAATGATCAATCAATACGGGGAGCTTGCTCACCCACATTACATGAAAGGACTCCGAGGCTCTTCGTGCGACGGGGCCTGGAGTATGCTGTCGGAAGTTGCTGCAGCTAGAGCACGCCGCCTCCGTACGCTGCCTTGGTCGTTGGTCACCCTTCATCTCCTGCCCGTAGGCTCTTCCCTCTCATTACCCCGTAGGGCGCTGCACGGTCAAGCCGTGACCTCTCCCAAAAAGGGATAACGGAGTCCGCAGTGCGCGAAGCACTTGCAGGACCCTTTACGTCGTACGACGCGAGAAGAGGTGCCATGCTTGCTCGACTAACAAAGGTATCAGCTCCCTTGCAGGACTAAGCAGGGTCCCCTCAAGCTCAACAGTGTAGTGAGTACAATGCTGACGACTTGTACTGAAGGTGTAGCCGCCGTACGACAACACTTGTAACTCGAGGCCACGAGTTGTAAGCCATGATTGCTCAACTAACGAAAGTGCCAAATCCTTCGCGGGACTAATCATGGTTCTTACAGAACTCTAGAATATTTCGGAGCCCAGCTTTTGGCTGCTGAACTCAATGCATGGTCGCTTTCACGACGAGTCTGATCCGGGTCATGACAATTCCCCGGCCTCTCAAGAATCACGTCCCCGTGATCTCAACTAACATTAAAGTCAGCGAGTCGTGACGGTAACCGCCTAGCTCTCGTTGGCCAAGCCAACGGGTTCTGCACCGCAACAGGTACGGGCATAGAGTACGAAATGTGGCTCCACAGGGGGGACATTTCCATCAAAAAAAATTTCCAACTTCAATTGAAACTGGTAGTACTGCTCCACTATCGTAGAGATGAGCCTGGTGCTGATGATCAACACGCAGCTTGTCATGTACAACTAAATGCACGTTGCAAATCTTCACGCAAAGCGTATACGTATGACAGTTCGCCATTTCGTGTCATCTCAGATGAATGTAGACCATAGGCCATAACGTGTGGTCGACACACCCTTCTACCACGTAGGTATCCGGTTCAGTACAAAACATAGATTTGGTGGTATCCAACGAATCGGTTCCACCCACACTCCACCCATTACAAAAGACCTTGGCGACCTCGCCAAGACTTCCACGGTAGGTTCATTGCTGCCAGCAAGGACAGACACAATGGCATACGCCTAGTAGCCTGTGCAACAGGACCACGATCACGTGTCTCAATTGTGTGGTGTAGCACCGAAGTGCGACCAAGCCCAGATGGGTTCAAAGCGAACGCATCTCGATACCGAAGCACTAAGGCTTGCAAGCAGTGGATCTCCTCGCAGGAGATACCAGATTGTCCATCTCTTCCTCCACCCGCCGCCGTGGGCTGGATTGAGTCCGGCTCATCCCTACCACCAACAGTGGGCAACTTGACTGAGACCAGCTCGTCACTACCACCAGCAGTGGGCACTTGGACTGAGACCAGCTCATCCCTACCACTAACAGTGGGCAACTTGACTGAGACCAGCTCGTCACTACCACCAGCAGTGGGCACTTGGACTGAGACCAGCTCATCCCTACCACTAACAGTGGGCACTTGGACTGAGCCCAGCTCATCCCTACCACCAACAGTGGGCAACTTGACTGAGACCAGCTCGTCACTACCACAGCCGGGAGTTAGAGCGGGACAATCTGCGCCAATGCGCAACTGCTTCCAGACCCCGAGGGAGTCCTCTGTCTCAGCTAATTGAGCTGATTCCTCTCTCTGGCCATCGGCCATAGTGTCTTCGGTCATGATACTCATGACTTCAGATATTGGTTCCAACCGACCAATCTGCATTGCCCTCTCTAGAGCCACTGCCTCGTCAGAGTAATTTAACACCCGTACGGGAACACCATCCACCGTAGGGCTCACTAGCGCATGCGCCATCATGACATCATTCATTCCTTGAAAACACCCATCAGGTATCGTCAAGGCACAGGTCGGCAACCCTTCCGACTTGTCTAGCACGGCGTTAACCGTCACCTCCGAAAAGGGAGTATCACTTCACGCCTCCGCAAGCGAAGAACGTGCTCTCGTTTGCCATCACCACCATGGCTTGGCGGAACGACATCAGCTTTAGAAGCTTTAAAATGCAATGCTCCATCACCCGAAATGATCTCGCAAGGAATTGGGACAGCACATCGCGTCCAATGTCAGAACCAGTAACCAACATCATACTCAGTACGTGACGAAACACCACAGGGTGCGGACGTCGCGACATATCCGACACCAAACAGGCATCGTCCAACACAGAAATGCTGGTTTCAGGTGGGCATCAGCTCACTAGTGATTTCCATCACACTCCAATCAAAACATTTGAGATCCGCATCAGCGAACTCAAATCAGCAGTTGTTCAAGCTCTCTGCAGAACTGGTCACTGTATCATCGTTTCAGCCAGCATCTCAACTGGTGCGCCCAGTTTCAAAATCTGGCTTCGTGACTCCGTCACACGACAAGGACATAGTCCTCTTGACTGTTTTTGAACCGTCAAAGTTCAAAAGAACAGCAACACTCCTCAACTGCAGCTGAGGGCAACGTAGAAGCTAAGCTTCATGCAGTCATCGATCCTGCCACTGCAAGACGACTCTAAAAGTCTAAAAGCATTTCGCCTCTCGAGCAGTTTCTGTGCAAGCGCTGACAAAACAGCAGAGTTTCCTCACTGCACGTCCTTGCAAGAACCTCTGTGGGTTCGAACAATGCACCGTCCACACCGCAAAGCGAGTGCATCTGACACATACCTCCGACCAACAAGTGGTGCAGGAGTCGAAACTCTTGTCAGCGGCATGACCGACTTTCGCCAGGTCTTCCGGAGCAAGTAAGTAATTAGTTGGCACGCCAACTGATAGCAACAGCTACATGTATACAGAACAGAACAAAAAAGTTCGCTTCCGAATCCACTTGAGAACTGCATGCAGCCTCGTGAAATCGACATCAAATTCACACCTCTGCGTGCTCGAGTAAACAAGAGCTCAGAGTTCAGCATGGACCAGTGCACACCGAGTTACGACTACTCTGCCGGAGCAACAGCAAGACGCAACTTGGATCCTGGTCACAGCACCAAATGTCATGGCCGCGCTTGGCGGGTTTGTGACTTGGCTTAGATCAGTCTAGTGGCTACCCAGGTAGACGACCAATATAGTCGCCATCCAAGTTGCTAGCTCACATAGAACGACAGGTTTCTAATTCCACTTGAACAGTGTTTATTTGAACCATTGCAGTACTAGATCGAAAGATCAAGTGTGTAGAGTCAAAAGACCAAAGCAGGAGAGAGTCGGAGTGACTCTCTCAGAATCGAGAGGAGTAGTGAGCTCCCCGAGAATCGAGGATGAATGTTAGCAAAACAGCTCCTTATATATGCTACATTATGTGATCAAAAGTATACAGTGGCAAGAATGCGTAAGGATTATTTCTATATTACAAACAGTGGTGCAATATGTGCAATCAGCCAAACTAGAATATAGTACAAAGAATGATCAATCAATACGGGGAGCTTGCTCACCCACATTACATGAAAGGACTCCGAGGCTCTTCGTGCGACGGGGCCTGGAGTATGCTGTCGGAAGTTGCTGCAGCTAGAGCACGCCGCCTCCGTACGCTGCCTTGGTCGTTGGTCACCCTTCATCTCCTGCCCGTAGGCTCTTCCCTCTCATTACCCCGTAGGGCGCTGCACGGTCAAGCCGTGACCTCTCCCAAAAAGGGATAACGGAGTCCGCAGTGCGCGAAGCACTTGCAGGACCCTTTACGTCGTACGACGCGAGAAGAGGTGCCATGCTTGCTCGACTAACAAAGGTATCAGCTCCCTTGCAGGACTAAGCAGGGTCCCCTCAAGCTCAACAGTGTAGTGAGTACAATGCTGACGACTTGTACTGAAGGTGTAGCCGCCGTACGACAACACTTGTAACTCGAGGCCACGAGTTGTAAGCCATGATTGCTCAACTAACGAAAGTGCCAAATCCTTCGCGGGACTAATCATGGTTCTTACAGAACTCTAGAATATTTCGGAGCCCAGCTTTTGGCTGCTGAACTCAATGCATGGTCGCTTTCACGACGAGTCTGATCCGGGTCATGACATATGTGTATGTTTAAAGAATGATTAGATAGGGTATTCCCTCAGCCGGGTATGCTCCTTTCCTAATGTTTGTGCCTAACCAGGTGTTGTCTACCCGAAGTGGGGCGCATACCCATTCAGCCAGGTCAGCAGACTAGACAGTAGTAACTTGACAGCCACTGTCATCCGTCTTCCAGACCTCTATCCAATGCTCACAGACTATCTTCAGTTGGTTGAGATCAGGCTGGTGCACAACTACATGTACCAGCAAGAAATTGTCTTCAACGTGTCCAGCAACGATACGATGCTCACGCTAAACTTGACGGAAGGCGTGTACAGCATTAGGGTACGCCTATTGAGTACGACTGTCGTCGTGAACTCGCAGTATGCTGCCGAGGTGTACTTCTACGTGCCAGGTGAGTTCGTTTTTTCTCTCTTTGCCAACCACACGAAAAAAGCTGACCCTTTTGGGAGCTATTATACCTTCTATTTATATAATTATTATCAGGACATAGGCAACAATTGCCGCATACAATATATTATTCCCGTAGCTAGGCAGAAGACGTTACTTCAGTAACGTCTGGTGCTAGCCAGGGTCCACACAGCTTTAATTTGGTATTTGTGTGTTTGTTTGTTTGTTTGTTTGTGTCACGCCTGGCGCTATCCCGTATCTGTCCCGTACCGTACCGTACCATCTTACACAGCTGGCCACATACAGCTGGCCGCAATATTCAAATAGGGCTTTCAAACGCAAGATCATAACGTGAAGCAACTTGGAAGAATGGGTATGAATGCGAAGTGTATGGGGGAATGCATGTAGGGCGATAGTGCGGGTTCGAATCCCAGGATATGCCTGAAAAAAAAATAGGAGAATTGAAAAATTGATAACATCCCTATGCTTTTTTTGCCGTCATCAAGGCGGTAGACGGTGTCGTATTATTCTCGATCATACCTGTCCCGTACCTATCCCGTACCGTACAGTACCATCAAAGACGGCTGGCCACAATGCATATTCAAATAGGGCTTTCAAATGCAAGATCATAACGTGAAGCAACTTGGAAGAATTAGTATGTATGCAAAGTGTATCGGGGGATGCATGCAGGGCGCGCGATAGTGCGGGTTCGAATCCCAGGTTATGTCTAAAAAAAATAGGAATTTTTTAAAGAATTTATATTATTATTATTATTATTTTGCTTGTTCGCGTTGGCATCAACCTGCATAAAGCAGGTATATAGCCTTCGCTTAAGCTGCCATAAAAAAGAAAGCTCATCCTAAGCGAGAGGGCTAGAGGGAAATATAACGATAACGAGATACAGAATACAAAGAAATCCAATGAGTTCAACGTACAATTCAAAACAAGAAAGAAAGGGAAGAAAAACAGAGCCGAATCTACCGATTGATCCATCAATCGACAAAGGGGACTAATCCGTTAGTGTTGCAAAGTAGAAGCTGATTATAGTTGCAGATCTCCAGGCCAGGGCCAGCATATTGCCGATTCTGGATAGGTCTCCGCAGCATTTGATGTGGTAATTATCATAATGTTTGATAAAATTGTTAGAGTATCTAGTATCTAGAGTACCGAGTCTCTAGTATCTAGAGTATCTAGTGTAATTGTATCCGTTATTATTGTTAAGGGTATCTAGTGTAATTGTATCCGTTATTATTGTTAAGGGTATCTAGTGTAATTGTATAACTTCAGCCATTACACACAGCACACATTAGATCCTTCCACTTTCGACGATCCTGGGCGAGCTGCCTCAGTGCAACTAGATCCTCGTGTGATGTGAGGGAGTTTGTGGATCTGGAATTTTTCAGGTCGTTGTTGATGGATCGCGGGAGTGTTGTTCTCGGGCGGCCTCGGAACCCTGAGCTTCCTGGCTGAAAGTATGCCGACATAGCCTGCTGGACCGGGGATGAGGTGTCTAGTCGAAGCATGTGGCCAAACATTCTCCACCTAGCAGACTGGATGATTCTGCTGAGTGGCTTGGAGCCAGTGCGCTTGTACAGTGCTTCATTGCGTATTATACGGGGATATTTGACCCCTATGACTGCTCGTAACTGCTGGCGGTGGAACGAGTCAAGTTTCTTTTCTTGAGTCTCTGTCAGGCTCCATGTGCCGCAGTTATAAAGAAGTATTGGGAGAATAAAGCTGCCGTATAACCTAATCCGAAGGGGTTCACGGGCATGGTTACCTCTTAGCCATATCACCCACAGCTGATGTAAGGCGCATGTTGCTAGACGTTTTCTCCGACTGATATCTTCCTCCACTCCAAGCATCGATCCTAGTTTGACCGTGTTCCGCCATCGCTCGTCTACTCTGTCCTTTTCTCTTTTAATTGTAGTATATTCGGTTTTGGCTTCATTCATTTTTAGATTGTATTCCGCTAACGAGGATGATAGTATGGGTTGATTGTCATGCAAATATTGTAGGCTGGTGCTGATGAAGTCTACGTCATCCGCATACGCTGTTTCATTGGGCAATTGAAGCTGAATATCCAATGCTGGTCGCGGTGAGAGTCGCTCTCGAATCAACCTCAATGCAGCCTCGAGGTAGACAGTAAACAGGACTGGCGATAGAGAATCACCTTGTGGGGTTCCATTGTGTGTGACTAATGGTTGGCTGAGAATGTTATTCAGCTTTACTTTTATTGTGGTGTCTGTCAGAAGGCACTGGATGATGTGCAGCTCATCATGATCAATGACTGTTGACAGTATATCGATCAGCCTGACCCTTGATATAGTGTCAAATGCCTTTGACATATCAATGCCTAAGATTGAGATCTCCGACGCAACACGCTGGCATCTTGCTGATAACCACCGATAGCTATATACCACGTCTCCAGTACTTCTCCCTGACCGGAACCCGCTCTGGTTCAGTGACAAGTACCCGTTGATAGCTGGCTTGATCCGCGTCAGGATGACCAATGAAAGAAGTTTACGTAGGGTGTTCAACAGGGTAACTGGCCTTACATTTCCAGGAGGACCTCTTTTCTTTCCCGGCTTTGGTATCGGGATCAGTAGCCCATCGCCTAGCTTGAGTGATTTGTCTTTGGCATAATTGTTGAATGTAGTGGCAATGTTCGAGAACAGTGCTGGTGTTCCATATTTGATAAGTTCAGCAGGTATCCCATGTGGTCCCGAAGCTCGGCCATTATTCAAGCGCTTAGCTGCGGCATGTACCTCTGGCTGCTTTATAGGGTTTTTAAGGTCTTCCTCTGTCCGTAAGAGCCTAGATGACTCCAGAGCAGGATCACAGAATATAGCACGGAAGTGTTGCCTTAATGCTTCGACTGATTCACTAGGTTGTGCAATGAGTTTGCCATCAGAGTCTTCAACCACAACTGGTGACTGCTGCTGTCGGCGCAGTAGTCGTGTTGCTTTGAACATTTTCGCGTCGTCTTTCATTTGGTCTATTTCAGCTACACGTTCGTCCAGTCGAGTCGATGCTAACTTGAGGCATTCCCGGCGAATTTGGTGTGCCAGCCTGTTGCGTCGCGTCTTCATTTCTTTTACCTTCGTTCCATCTCTGCACACCGTAATGTCGAGACGCAGTTTGCGTTTCTCTGCTGCTAGCTTTTCAATTTCCCCGCTGAAGCCATTTCTATGCGTCTTGTTTGTTTTAGGGACGCGGCCCACCGATGTGTTTGCTGCCTCACTCATAGCGTTCACAATATACTGCAGATGTTGCTCCGCATTGACACCTTCCTGCTCTCTGCCGAGGTCCTGTAGATGTTCGTTGATAGCCTCTCTGTACTTTGCTTTCTTGGTCGGGTCACTAAATTCGGATATATTGAATTTTGCGTTGCTGGATATGGCTACTGGCGGCCTCTTGAGCTTCTTGTACAACTTAGTCAGGTTGAGGTTTGCCAGCACAAGACGGTGATCGCTTTCTAAGCTTGTCCCGGCGTATGATCTGGCATCCGTCACCACAAACCTTTCACTGTGACGGCAAAGGATATAATCTATTTGGTTGTAAATGGGTAAAGGTGGACCTCCACTAGGGTTGTGGCGCCAGCCTGTCCATGTGGTGATATGTTCTGCACGGTGCTGAAACGCCGTGTTACAGGCAAATAGGTAATTGCTGGACGCGAAATCAGCCAAAGTCTGGCCGCTGTAGTTGCGATGGCCCCTTGAGTGTGAACCAGCATAGGATACGGAGTGGCAGTCACTGGGTGGTCGTTTCCCAAGTTTTGCGTTGAAGTCTCCCATCAGGAACAGCAGCGATGAAGACCTTAGTTTTTGAATTGTTTCCAGCAAGCTGTTGTAGAACTTATAACATCCCTATAAAACTAGCTGAACCGACATTTGTGTACTTTATTCATGCAATGTAAAAACGGTGGAGACGATGTGCAATAAAACGATGAAAATATGAAGAAATGGTGCAGGGAAAAAATAAGGATTCAAACAAGTTTTCGTACAACACTCATCAGGAATCGTCGTTGTACTAAAGGACACTGAAACAAAAATTGAACTATTATAGAAAATCTAACTTAGAGAAATAACACTAAGAGCAACAGCAGTGAAATTTACAAGTGTGAATTTTAACAATCAAAGCGAGAAATGAACAAAGGAGAAAGGAAGGAAAGACAACGTGATAACACATATTAGCACCATATCCCTCACACACTCATACTCAGCCCAAGGCAACAAGGAATTGTTTTGGAGATAGTGTGCTGCTTCGAGTAACTGGTCTTGTAATGCAAAAGCTCGAAGAGCTGGAAAGCAATGCCAGGCCACTGGCAGCAACTGGCTCGCGAGGAGCCGCAATAAACCCACATTGTGCCACAATGGGGTTGCAAGGCAAAGCCAATGCAATTGGCAACAACTGGCTCGTGAAGAGCCGCAACTAGCGGAGCAAGTGACCAGTTAGGAGCGATAGAGCTAAATGTTCCATAGTACCATTAGCAAGATGATAAAATGGGAGGGATGGAGGGTGAAAATTTGGTGCTGGCACAAGCTAAAAGTCACCACTAATTAGACTAGTCTTTGAAGTGAAGCCAACAGCAAGAAAGAAAGAGAAAGTTCAAAGGAAGCAGTTGTACGACGTCAGGCTAAGCGCGCCCGAATCCATGCGCTGGCAGTGTACTAGTGTGAGTGCAGTGAGCAAAAGTTCAAAGGAAGCAGTTGTGTGACGTCAGGCCAAGCGTGCCCGAATCTATGCGCTGGCAGTGTGAGTGCAGTGCACAATGCACCGATGCAGCGGTGCGCGGCAGATGCAAACATGGCAGTGTGATCGGTGGATGCTAACACACACTAACTACATTACTGCGACATTAGCACCATATCCCTCACACACTCATACTCAGCCCAAGGCAACAAGGAATTGTTTTGGAGATAGTGTGCTGCTTCGAGTAACTGGTCTTGTAATGCAAAAGCTCGAAGAGCTGGAAAGCAATGCCAGGCCACTGGCAGCAAC